ATCTCTCCTTCTGGTATACACCCGCGATGTTGTAGTTCCAATATTTGCTTTCGCCCTTGACTAGATTGAATCTGGTGCATCTGAACAAATTCGAAGCACATATCAGAAATCAAAACTAACCCAACCGGTCTCGCGGACAAGCTTTGAGCCACAAGAAACACCAATCATGAAGAAATGAAAATCGGTGAGATGGAGATGATACTTGTCAACAAGTGACAAGCGTTGTTTGTCGCCCATTTGCTTGAAGTGAGCAAACATTGTTTCATCGATGATTTCCATGTGTGCAAGTGCTGGGATAAGCTCAGCGAGTCCCAATGTGTGCAGTTCGTCTCGAAGAAAGAAGGTTGTGTCGGGGGTGTCGAGTGATTTGTGAGTTCTGCATGGGGTTCGCAGTAGAACAAAGCGCGAATTCTTGTCTGAGCGGGTCGCAAGCTGCTGAGAATTTCGGTGGCGTTCAAAAAGATCAAGAAGGCGGCATTTGGAAATGGGACTAAGTTGTACAGTCGGTATTGAGACGATGGTCCTCTCGAGAAAGATTGGGGGTAGACTGAGGAGAAAGTCCAGGTGATTATCTTGGGAGACTCCAAGACGTGCGAGTTCCATGATTAGTGCTTGATCATGTTCAAGAAAGGCGCCGAGGTTCCTCGCGAACGAGGGTTCGGCAATGGGAGACCCATGGCAAAAGAAGCAGGGCGCCAATAAAACAGTCTGCTTTTCTTCAAGCTGGGTTGTGGTTTCTCGGTCATGCAAAATTGCTTGCGATGAGATGGGCTGCGGAGAGCTATTCAATGGGGTTGCCTGTATCGGACACAAAGCTCTCCAAGTTTCTCGACGCTTCCGTACCCTCGGTCGGTTTGCTCTATTACGCGAGTCTTTGCGACCTTTAACGAGGGCGTTGAAATAGTATTCCAAAGGCCAGGCATCCTCGTAACGCTGCAGAGAGCTGTCAATTGCCATCATCTAAGAGTCGAATCTTATCAGAAAATGTTTTTGGGACCAAGGTTGTGAGGTGGATTGACCGATCGAATGAATCCATCCCAGACAGCGTCGTCTTGCTCCGACCGATATTTGGCCTCGATCTTTCGGCTCTCTATCTTAACTTGTTTCTAAAGAACAGTCAGAAAGGATCAAATCAAATCCCAAGGCGAAGAGAATTTCCCTTACTGTGAATCTTTCAAAAGAAGCTCGGTCTGGATGAGTGTTCTTCATGAATTGCTCTAGATCCGCAAGAAGGCGAAAAAATAGTTTTTTGCCCTCAGGACGCGCGATTACCTAGGTAGGGGACGTCCCGTTAGCAGTGAAAGAGGCCCAGAACATGATCAGCAGTATGTGACCTGTGCAGGTTCCGGAACTTCTATCTGTTTCCTTGGCGCCTTCTCCTTACGCCTGGATCTCAAGTAGTTGTAATAATACTCTGTGGGCCACGAGTCTTCGTAATGGGCGAGTAGGGGTTGCTCGGAACTGACCTGATTTCAAACATTGAGCGAAAGTACGAGAATTTTCCAGCTTCCTCACCGAGTTCAGAAAGCTCCGCCAGTCGCTTTCCGCATGTTCATAGTTAAATTTGCCTGTCTTCAACAAGAAAGTCCTTCCTATGCTACGGACCGATTCCTAAAAGCGTTAAACATTAGATACACCCAGGATGCAAATGTCGCAGAGGAGTGACCCTGAAGCTATTAAAATCTTCAATGTTTGGATGCGTTAACTTCATCTCTCGAAAGAGGCTGAGAGGACAATTAATGCAACGGGTTCTGCGCGGAGGCCGGGGAATGAGCATCATCTTGAGGCGGGATGACACTATCCCTCAATCCTTTTTATCTGCTTAGAAAGCAGTGACGAGTCGGGTTTGGTTGGCTATGTCATTAAAGTCGTGCTTCTGCCAGTGACATGTATAAAACAGTATGGATTGGTACAGAAGGGGATGTAGCGGTTTAGCAGAAACGATCACTAATTGAGGATGTTCAAATGGAGACAGACGGAGAGTGAAAAGGTTTGGTACCTTTTGAGTTTGGCGCGCCTGTCAAGCAGGGCCTCAGATAAGCGACCATCTTTCGCGGCTTTCTTGAGCTGAACACGAGATTTAGAACGTTACTGGAAGGCAAATGAGAAGGCCGCCTACCACTTTATTATCCTCTTGAGAAACGACTGAACGACCAGCTCCCCATGCTTGAAAATTGCGGCTATCAGGTGCCAATCAGCACGATTGTATCTGAAAAGATGAAAAAATGACTGACTTTGAGCCGGCCTCATCAACCTTAGGGACAGACATGCCCTCCTTCCGCTTCTTCTCTTCTTCAAAAGCTTCTTTTTTGTATTTGTGCTGAATTCTAACCCAGAATCGCTCAGCAAAACCTACCTCTTCGCTATCTCCTCTCAGCTGCAGTGCTCCACCAGCGACCTCATCCACGCCAAGATATTTCTCGTAAATATTCATAAATGCAACCATGCCATCCGGAAATACAACTGGTGTCCATTCCTCTTGTGGGCCTCGTGCATCACGATCCGCAGACACGATACCATGAGCGTCGCATGATAAGAATTTGCCTTCGCCCGTGCCAGTACGAATGTTCACGGTAGGAGAACCGGCCACTCGGGTAATGACCCAGACTTGGTTCACGTTTGTTGGAACTCGTTCGAGAAGCTTCAGAGGTTCGCCGTCCTCCGGGGTTTCCGCATCTAGAGCATACAACATGATACGATTCGCCGTTGAGTTAAAGTTTATAGATATTGGTGGCTCCGAAGGATGAATCAGGAATGACGGTCCCCGAAGCTCATTGACGTTGTCTGGCAGAACCCAGGTTTCTGGGTCTTTGTCATCTAGTTTTCGTCTGCTGCTGCCAGAATGTGGTTCATCGTCGCCTGCCTCCCTCTTTCTCTTTTTCTTCGGTTTGTCACCCTTGAACTTGAGTTTCGTTGAGCGAACTTTCTCTGACATGGTCGCGATCAGGAAAAGTATTATTAATGTACCGCCGTGCTGTCGCATGTGCCCCTATCACCGCGTGGGAAGGAACCCTGCTGTCAACATCATCCAAGTTCTCCCTATCGCCCACGCCGCCCCCAAGACACTCTCCGACAAAAATGAAGTTCAACGCTGGTATGTTTGACGTTCTATGCGTTTAATATGACTGTTATGCAATTTCTCGTGAAATCTCGAGGGAAAACCATCAAGGAATGGGCTGGATGGATGCGATAGACTTTGGATGACTGTCAAATTTGTGTGTGTCGATGCTGATGCTTGGTGATTTTATCCAGACGTCTCCTCTTCACGGCGCAAGTCGCGCAAGGCCCACTTTGCGGCCCCCTCCTCAATCCGCCGCAAGATTATGTCTTCGGCTCTGTCCAAAGAGCTTCGTGCTAAGCACAATGTATGCTGGATTTCGAATCGTCGTGAGAACCACTGACGATCTTCATTCGTCAGGCTCGCTCGCTGCCCGTCCGCAAAGATGATGAAGTTCGTATTGTCCGAGGGAAATACAAAGGTCGTGAGGGCAAGGTTACGCAGGTGTACCGTAAGAAGTGGGTCCTTCATGTCGACCGTGTCGCAAGAGACAAATCGAACGGTGCTTCTGCTCCTATTGGCATTCACCCGAGTAATGTCGTTATCACCACCGTTAAGCTCGACAAGGACAGGCGAGCGATTCTTGAGAGGAAAGATAGAAAGAAGAATGCAAAGGCCGGTGATGTCGAGCAGGTCGACGTGAGTCTTGGTTTTTATGCTTGGATCTGTTCGTTAACGTCCTTCTACAGTAATTTCTTGTTTTTTTTTCTTTTCACATTGCTCGTCCCACATTGCACAAAAATTTCATGTAACGCAGCACCTTAATGCAATATGTCGCATGCTTGCCAAATACTTGCTCAACCTTGGCCAAAATTTTAACTGACAGAAATGGTATCATTATGTATTAGTGCGGCGTGAAGATGTCGTATGATGAGGCAACTCGAAGAATCCGGTCAGAAGATCACATCTACATCTTTACTACTCAGAAGGTCCACCGATTCTTTTGTTTCGTCCAGCAGTGGATCCACCGCAGCTTGTTCTTGTTCAGCATCCTCTGCCTTCTTTGTGGCCTCGCGAGCGGCCGTATCTCGTTTCTTTTTACCTTGCACCTTTTTCAACCTAAGATGAGTCTGTAAGTCGAAGCTCTCAGCAGCAGATCTTTCGCACATACCTGAAAAATTCTTCTCGATCCATCTCATCGAGTTCGCTCATAATATACTTGATCGTATTTTCTAACCGTGGCATAACGACATGCTCGATTGCATTTACACGTCGATTTGTTGCTCGAATAACTTCGTCGAGTATTGTAAACGCAGTCTGCAGAGACGCGAGCTCAACCAAAGTCTCGATCGCCTTGGCGTAGATTTCCTTTGCCTTGATTATCTGTTGTCCGCCACGCCCCAACCCAGTGAGATTGAAATCTGAACAATGTTAATCATTGCTGGGTCGTGGATGAACAATGTGTGGAAAACAAACCTGATCCTTGCACTCGCTCAACCTCAAAGCCAGGTAATACGACACCAGAGACGTTCTCCTGCTTAGCCTTGACGCGGAACGTCGCTAGTTTAGCTTGCTCCTGTACCAGGTAGGCAATGTCTCCAGTTGCATATGTCACCTCGGCCATCGAGAACGATGCGAGCTGCATTACTCTGCCCATCTTTCGCTTTGCCTGTGTTACTATCCGGATCAGTATTTCTCTCTGCCGTCGCAGTAGGAATACGACAACGTACTTCATCAACTTTCTTGAGGATCGCACGAAACCTTGTTGTAAGCGCATCTCGCTTTTTGGCCAGTAGAGAATGACCGGTTTGCGCGCCCTTCAGCCGTAGCTTGGTATTTGTGAGGGCCATCCGTGTTGCGAAGACATTTTCGCGAGCACCTGTGCCAGACATGATCACAGACTAAAGAAGAGGGGCGTTCTTCGTTACCGATTGCGACGTTTCCAAGTATGGACTGTCCCCGCGCATATTTAATATATTATTAATTTCACCCGTCTCTGACTGGGGGCATAGCTCAGTTGGGAGAGCAGTAGACTGAAGCACACTTGTATTCTAAAGGTCCCGCGTTCGATCCGCGGTGCCCCCATTTTTGGTCTTTTTCACTCTCTGAGCACTGATAAATTTCAGGAAAGTATTTCACAAGAGTATGTAGGCGGGAAGGTTATATCCATCTTTTAAGGAGAAATCCACAAGATCTTTCTATAGTGATTCTATGCGATGGTATATTTGCCGTAATTCTTCTCGGGGTCGAAGATCTGAAAGGAGGTTATTAGAGAAGACAAGGTAGACAGAACAATGGAACAGCATACCTCCCATCGAGATGCAGGGAATATGTGTTTGTTCCTTTGATAGTAACTTCTCTCCACAACCTTGCCAGCATGAGACTCATCTTTTTCTTTCGTAGCATCAGCAAGCAGGCGAACATCGTCGTGCACATCAAAGTTGAACAGAGGGCCAGACTTTCCCCTGGCTTTATTAACGATGAAGTCGTAAAAAGTATGATGCTAAAGAGCAATATTAGTTGGGGAGGACGCTCATAACACAAAGCACATACATGAGGAATGATGAGGTCCTCCTTGACGTACATCAAGTTATCAGCGCTTACGCCACGAAGTTCAGGAAACTGAGCGCGACATTTCTCAAGAAAGGCAGATATGGTGTCCCCCTTTTTGCACTACAAAATTACTGGTTAAAACAAACTACATTTCAACAAGAGAATAACTCACCATGACAGTCTTTCGATGTCCACTTCCATCCCAGAAAGAGTAAGTGATTTCGATGTCTTCTTTCTTCATCTTCTCTTGTTTCTCAATCCACTCCAGACGGAGACTCTCGCGTTCTTTGCGTTCAGCTTCCTCACGATCCCGGTCTGGAAGAAAAGAGGTGTCAACATTGGGATTTTTCTTCAACTTGCTGCGTTTGACACGAGGTTCTTCGTCGTCTTCGTCGTCATTAGCCTTCAAGTCTTCGGGCTCTTCATCACCGCCTTCTTCATCCTCCATCGCAAAGGAAAGCTTGGCTTTGGCGGTCTTCTTGCGCTTTTTAGCTTTCTTCGTCTCCTCTCTAACATATTCTCCACCCCAAGTCAGCGACCTGTTTCTTGAAAAGTGAACTTGGAAAAACATACTTTAGCTCGCTGCTCTTAGCTGCCTCCCGGGCTCTAATCTCTTCCAGCTCTTTCCTGCGTTGCTGAAAGTCCTCTAAGTGCATTAGACCAACAGTCTTGTTCTTTAGATTGTCTTCAACAGAATCATTCTGCCCAACGAATCGGTTCGATGAAGGTCGAGCTTTCTCTGTCTCTTTGATAAGTGTTGCCTTTTGTCGTTCGAACTCTTCGCGCATTTTTGCGCGCTCCTTAACCAAAGCATCTTCACGTCTGCCTTCCGCTTTGTTGGCTGACATGTTGGAAGAGATAGGGACAAAATAGTTGTTTGAACGTTTGAGCACCAGGCCTTCAATTGTCGGAGTTCGTCGGACATCGAAACTAGTTCCCGCTCTCAGTCCCGTGATCCTCCTCGTCCAGAATTCTCGCTCACTGTTGACAACGTCCGTGGCCCCCAATGGTTCACGTTCTTGGTATAAATCTTCCTGACGGACATGTCGTGAAAGTGAGTAACATGTTAAAATTTTCTCAGTGATATTCTTACCAAATGGAATAGTTCGCCTTGACCAAAATATATGGCGTTGGACCTCACATCGCAAACCGGCTCTGTGCGCGTTTACAAGTCCATGATAAATGCAAAGTGAAGGATTTGTCGCCTTTTCAAGTTACATCTCTTGCCTCTTTCCTATCATCCCCAACAACCTCGCCGCCACTTCCTCGCCTTCCGCTCGCCTCACCTGACTTTACCCCGCCGCCATCCACTATATCCACTCAAGAGCTACAAGCACGGTTCAATGAACAACTTAAACAGAGAACAATCAAGAGCACAGATCCTCTGCGGAATTTAAAGATAGAGTCTGAGCTGAGGAGGGAGATTCGGGAGAATATTGCCCATCAACGTATGATTGGAAGTTATGTCGGAAGACGCCACGCCATGCATCTTCCAGTCAGGGGACAGAACACCCAAAACAATGCGAAGACTGCGAGGAAGCTCAACAGGCTGGAAAGAAACTAGAATTGAGATTCTTTAGCTCGCATTTGTTCAGTCTAGAGTCGATATACCACTGGTGTCCTACATTACTCGTTTATAATCATACCACCCGTGGCTATCTTCTCTACATCCAGGAAAAACTTTCCGCCTTTGAATATTTTAAAGCAACATTCGCTGACCAGAACGCGTCTCGAACAAAGAGACGCGTTAGCACTAGCGGAGTTCGGGCCGCGTGATTAGTTTCACTCAAACCACCATCTCAAGCCGCCTCCATATATCTCAGTCAATGGCGAGCAAGCAGTACAAAAGTATAGGCGAAGACTTGTGGAAAGGGCGGACGGAGAAAATTGTGAGGCAAGCTTCCACATATATTACAGTGCTTATCTGATCTAAGCAGAATGCAGAATTGTTCGCTCTGACATACGGAGCCCTGGTCGTTCAGCTTATTCAAGATTATGAAGATTACGATGAAGTAAACAAACAGCTAGAAAAAATGGGATATAACATCGGCACCCGGCTAATAGAAGACTTCCTTGCGAAATCAAACTTTGGACGTTGCTCGGACTTCAAGGAAGTTGGAGAGGCCGTGGCCAAGGTAGAAGTGCCATTGCGAAAATCCAAACCACGCCTCTAACGTGCTGCCAGGTCGGATTCAAATCCTTCTTGAATATCACGCCTATAGTCACACACGGAGCACCTCCTTCATCTCCTCGACCTCAATCAACTGGGACCGTTCAGTCAATATCACAAACGACGTCAGGATCCTTCTTTGTCTTGACGTTAGACGACAACCCTTTAGCAGAATTTGTGGAACTGCCAGAAGAAGCGCTTGAAGGTAGGCTATGGTTCAGCAACGTGCTATGTGGAGTAATTCGTGGTGCACTGGAGATGGTATGTCTCCCCAAAATCTCGCCAGCTGGTCGTCCTTTAAACTTTGTCGATGACTCAGGTACAGTTACAAGTCAAGGCCGAGTTCATATCCGACGTACTAAGAGGGGATGAAAATACAGAAATTCGTGTGACCCTCGTTAAATATCTGGAGGAAGAAGTGCCTGTCGGAGACGATTAAGCTGGACGACTCGTGTCTGTTTATCTCGTACATTGTCCCTGTATCTTGGCGTCTCAGGTATTTTTTACACGATCTGTAGCCTAAATTTGTAGGATTAACTATGCAGCCTGACCAAATGTGAGAGCCAAATGTTGAGGATATCGACAGACAAAAATAGATTTAACATTTCTCCTTCGCTCGTGCAACTCTTTCGCTCCAAAAACTTCCCAATGTCGCGGCCAGAACTTCAAGCACCACCGGAAATTGTATGTTTACTATCTATGACGTTTTATGGAGCTGGAAATCTTCCTATGTAGTACTATGGCGATACTGAGGCCAAGAAATACACCCAAAAGTGTGTCTATTGAAGTTGTCTCGAACCTGAGAAATGCTTGACCTTTGGGCCTTGTTAGTACCCGAAATCAACAGATCCAGAGAGACATGACTTACAGAGCTCTGGAACTTTTGAACCTACCGCCTGATCAACCTGCATTTTTACTTGACATTGGCTGTGGATCGGGGTTGTCTGGGGAAATTCTAGATGAGGAAGGGTACCTCTGGGCAGGTGTCGATATCGCACCCAGTATGCTTGGTCGGTTAAGGTCCTGTTATCTCATGATACGGATAAGAAAGTTCTTATCAATTACGTTCTAGAGGTTGCGCTTGAAAGGGAGGTAGAGGGGGATCTATTCTTGCATGATATCGGGCAAGGCTTTGGCTTCCGGCCAGGAAGTTTTGACGGTGCTATCAGGTACATGTTGTCGGCTCTCAGACGGTGACAAGAACGCTCAAGCTATTAACAGTATCTCCGTCCTTCAATGGTTACTCAATGCCGAAACGTCCCATCCAACATCCTCGCCTCCTCACCGCCTGCATCGTTTCTTTACCACCCTTCATTCCGCTATGCGCAATCCATCTCGAGTTATTTTGCAATTCTACCCTTCCTCGGATGATCAGATACAACTGATAACCTCGATCGCCCAGAAAGCTGGCTTCGGCGGAGGTATCGTCGTAGACTATCCGAATTCCAAAAAAGCGAAGAAGGTTTTCTTGTGTTTGTTAGTTGGTGGAGGAGGGAGCCAGCAACAAGTGCCACAGGGGCTGCAAGGAGATGAAGAGCATGACAGTAAAGCCGTCTTTGAAAAACGCAGAGAGAGAATGAAGTCAAAGCACGGTAAACGAAAATCTGTCAAGGATCGAGATTGGATTTTGAAGAAGAAAGAGGTAAGTTTAATCACTCAACACTCAGAACGGAAGGAATTCTGATCAGTTACACCTTAGCTTTATCGCAAACGGGGCAAGGAAGATGTTCCGAATGACTCAAAATATACTGGGCGAAAGAGAAAAACTCAATTTTAAGTTATTCGCGGCGTCGGTTTTCATTTTCCAAACAGTTGATATTAGATCTGTCTAGTGTTTGTCGTGTTTTAATTCTGGCTGTCTATCGATGAAGAAGTTTTGACATGAGGCGATGGCGTCTTTAGCAGAATTACGAATGAACAGGCCCTGGAGAGCAGCCATACTAATACGCCTTCCCAATTGGGCTTCGTGTTTAACGACATCACCTAGTCGCTTGGATAATTTCTGCAACTCAGATGCCGGAAGCGAGTTTGGTGTGTCCGTTTCGCGATAGAAGCGGTCGAATAGGATCTGGGATTGCTCCGGGGTTGCGTCGTCTATGAGTTGCATGAGGTCGACACGACCTGGTCGGATAAGGGCGGGGTCAAGCTTTTCGGGATGATTAGTTGTCATGAAAATGATACGCTCTTCCCCGGACGCTACTCCGTCAAGCGCGTTCAAGAATCCGGAGAAAGTGACAGACGACTGGTACCTAAGCGAAATGAATCAACCGAGTCTGAACATAGGGTTTCGCACCTACCCGTCTTCGGATGTTTGTACTCGCCTATTGAAGGCAGCATCAATATCCTCGATTAACACGAAGCT